GGCACCTCCTGCGCAGCCCTCCAGCAGCGGCCGTGTCCTCACGGATGCAGTCCTGCAGAGGGACACAATTGCTGCAATACACGAGGTTGCAAGAGAGCTGGGACAACTTCGTCATGTGTTGGCTGAAATAAGCACTTCTTTAAAAGATTTGGAAAATAAATGAGTTGTTTCCATACCTTTTTTTTGTCTGTTTTACAAGTGACGCATCACATCCAGACGCTGTTGCAGTTCACCAGGGTTTCTCGCCCATGCATGGGGAAGGGGGTCGGGCTCGTCTTGGGCACAAGCAGCCTCAGGGGGTAATGGGACATTGTTCAGCAGTGCCAAATTGTGAAGCACAGCACACGCCCTCACAATTTAGCACACCTTGTCAGGCTTGTAGCAGAGTTTGCCTCCTGTGGCATCGAGGCAGCGCCATCTGCCCTTTAGCAGCCCTATGGTGCGCTCTACCACAGCTCGTGCCTGGCTGTGGCGAGCATTATATTGTCTCTCCTCTACGTTCTTCGGGTTGTGGAATGGGGTGAGCAGCCACCGCTTGAGGGGATATCCACTGTCACCTGTAGGGTTGATAAATAGGTCATATAATGCAGCATATATACACAATTATTTATTTAGGAGTTTTACATTAATCATTCTTACCTAAAAGCCAGCCATCACGCTCACAGCTCCAACCTCAAGTCTGCGGCCAACACTGCTGTTACGCCAAATGAAGACGTCATGGGTTGACCCAGGCCACCGAGCAACTACATTTGTTAACAGCATGTTCGTGTCACATGGCAATGTATTTTAATTATTCATTATTGCATGGCTTTAAGTGTAGTGTGTTTTATACCTTTTTATTGTGTGATTTTACTCTGAAATGTGTTTGCCTTTTTAACTGGTTTTAACTTCCTGCTGCATGCTTTTATTTTTGAAATGTTTGGATTGACCTTGCCATGCTGATTGACAATGAGTGACCACACCTGGAGCCAATTTACACACCTAGGCCCAATCCCAAACCACTCCCTCGACCCTCCCCCTCCGTGCCGGAGTGAACTCCGTCTGTAGGCACACTCACAGCTGAATGAAGTTCCCTCCATTAAGGGTTAAGGGTAAAAATACAGCGGCAAGCTTTGGGACGGCCTCCCCTCTCTCCGCAGGAAACGGAAACGGACGTCATGGTGTCCAACTCACATCTCCATCTGTCGGCTGCATTGACCTGCGTTGCTATCCGTCGCCTGTTAGCGGGTGCAATGGCAAGATCCAACAGAAGGCGCAGAAGGTTGAGGTGCATTTTAGCGATGTGCCAATGGCAGGTAAACATTTTAATATTGCTAATACAACAATTATCTTCACTTTATTTCTTATATAGTAGCCTATGAACTTTGTGTGTGTAATACAAATAGATATTTAGATATATTGTGATATACATTCATTTTTTCTTTCCTTATAAGCTATACGTGTATATCTGTATAGTGTATGTAGAATTCCAACACAGAGAAATGTTGTCAGTAGTTTATAGAATAAAAAAGGAAAGGTTAATTTGACTTGGTCTCAGAAGTGTGTGTGTGTGTGTGTGTGTGTGTGTGTGTGTGTGTGTGTGTGTGTGTGTGTGTGTGTGTGTGTGTGTGTGTGTGTGTGTGTGTGTGTGTGTGTGTGTGTGTGTGTGTGTGTGTGTGTGTGTGTGTGTGTGTGTGTGTGTGTGTGTGTGTGTGTGTGTGTGTGTGTGTGTGTGTGTGTGTGTGTGTGTGTGTGTGTGTGTGTGTGTGTGTGTGTGTGTGTGTGTGTGTGTGTGTGTGTGTGTGTGTGTGTGTGTGTGTGTGTGTGTGTGTGTGTGTGTGTGTGTGTGTGTGGAGGTCAGTCCAAGCTTTGCCCCTGACATCATTGCATGTTGTGCATTTCTGCACAATCTGTGCATAGACATGAACGATGTCCTTGAGGATGCTGAAGCCTTCCCCCCTGAAGATGGGGACCAGAGTCCTCCCCCTGCCGCAGCTTGTGGACAGGAAAGTCCTGGACACCACCTAAGGAACAGGATTGCTGCACAACTCTCTGCTCCTGTCCAAATGGCACCACACCAGAGAGCACGATTACCTCGAATGAACTTTTTTTTTTGTTGGGAAAAACGTGGTTGTCTGTTAAAACCTCTTAAGCCCCACGGACCCGAGCTCGGGTCCGAAAATGCTATATATGTAGCAACAGTGCTATATCTGAAGTGTCATTCATGAAACTATTAATATTCCATACCCATCTGACCGGAGGAAACTTGGCTTACTGACGATACGAAAAAAAAAATTGTTTTCGAAAAATAAGTCTCACAAGAAGCCTCTAAATGACCCCATGTCAAAAACGGGCAATTGCTATGTCTGCTCATAACTCACAAAAACGATCATTTATAATTCATCCTTTCCGCACAAACAACACATTTTCTGAAAGCTGAGATTCCACAGATTCCATGGGTGTACACCCCATCACTACAGGCACAACATTAACCGAACTGGCAGCCACAACATAGCAAGTAAACAATATCAGTTTTCAAATCCCTGACAATAATTAGGTCTTACCTTGGCTGTTTTGTGATCAAAAGTTGTGTTCAAAGGAATAAAAACGCTGCTCAGGGTTAATCCAATGTCTCTTGTCACTTTAAAATGATTACTGAGAATCAATCCTTTCATTCACGGCAGAAGAGTAGGTCCAACGATTAACAGTCCGTGGATTCAGCTGCGGGAGCTGCTTTTTTCGCATAGCTCCCCCTCCGCAGGCATGACGTATTTACGTAATTTGAAACTGCTACTCGATTCGATTGGCTCTAACGATTCAAAAAAGGTGTCAATCACCCAAATCGACCAATGGGTTCCAGAGATAGGAGTTTGCGTAAGTATAAATATAGGCAGTATCAGCTGATTTACGCACGACCCAGTCTTTGTACGCTGCATACTAGGCTATAGCGTAGCATAGCATGTCCCGCGGCGACAGGAGAGCAGAGAACGGCAGATCGATCAGCGAAACAGCAGGATTTGTTTTCTTTGTCTTCATCGTAGCAATGGCAGCCAGAAAGAAGACTTTTTTGTCCGTCGAGGAGGCATTGGATATCGTATTTCAGGACTCTCCGTCGGAAGATAGTGATCTCGTCACGCACGAAGGGGACAGTAATGACTCTGATTATGAACCTCCGTCACCGGAAAGGTATGGATTCTCTCTGTTTGTATCTATTACTTATTTATTTGGTGTAAGAGTATTCATCTGTTTTTATCTTTTTGTTATTTATTTGGTGTAAGATTGTATTCATCTATAGTAATTTCACACACGTGACAATAACACGACGGCATCCATCTTGTGATATAATGTTCTTTCACACACTCAACAACAACAAAGAAGATGGATGCCGTTTCTTGTTCTTGTTGTTGAAATAAACAAGACATATACATGTTGAATTTAACACGGTATTACATTTCATTTAGCTGACGCTTTTATCCAAAGTGACTTACAACTATATATATATACACACACGCATATATATATATATACATACATACATACACACATATATACATATATATACATATACATATATATATATACATACACATATATATACATATATACATATATATATATATATATATACATATATATATACATATATATACATATATATATATATATACATACATATATATATACATACATATATACATACACATATATATATATATATACATACATATATACATACACATATATATACATATATATACATATATATACATATATATATATATATATATACATATATATATATATATATATACATACATATATATATACATACACATATATATGACAGACAGAATATTAATATTAAATATTGAACAGATTATATGAACCCCGTCTCACATAATTTACACGGTATACATTTTGAGTGATATAATTTTATTTCACACACTCAAAATTGATGTTCTGCTGTTGTTGTAGAGAAATTATTTCTGATTTGAGTTACATTTTTGAAAGTACAAGCCAGAGAATTAATCTATTTGTTTTTTCCACATTTGTTTTCACAGTGAGGAAGGCGATGAGGATATGGCTTCTGGATGCCCGAGTATTATGGGGAAGATGCCACCAAGGTCAGGAGGTACTGCAGGAGGTGCTCTGATGCTGGCAACTGAAGAGTGAAGACACCTGTGTACTGCAGGAAGTGTCAGGTCCCTCTGTGCTTCACTACCAAAAATAACTTTTACAGGGCATGGCATGACTTACTGGAGTAATACTGTAACATTCAGGGTTTGTATAAAGTTTTTTTTTTACCCAAAAAATGCTTGTTGTATAGTGTGTTGCTAATTTTTTTTAATAAATCTGCTCCAGTTGGAGTCAAATGTTTCCTAAGTTTCCTCATTTTTATTGTGCAAGTAACATGCATCTCATGCAAAGAGGGAACTTCCCACACACACCACACACTCCACACACACACACCCACTTAATTTTTATTTATTTTTTTAACCATTTTTTTTTTTTTTATGGAATGAATACCTATAGTGATAATTAAATGTTGTACAATGATTTTTACAGTCTGGTACCTGAAAAAGGTTAAATGGCACTGATGGAACCAAATGTACCCAAATGTGCCCAAAGCTTAGTCCGCTTGGACTTTTTTTTGCTAAATCTCTCTAAAAAGGTCAATTCTCACTTGTTTTGCCTCAATCTTGATACAGGGTACTTATTATATGTTATACTTTGGATTCCTAAAGCTTTTAGGCTACTAACCCATCATTCAAGGGTGGTTTTCACTATAAGTAATGGGTTTTATTTGGGCGGAGACAAAAATGTACACTTTTTGACTATGTTCCATCTGGATTTACTCTGACACTGAAACATCTTTATTGATTCTGACACTTCTACATCCAACTCACAGATGTGACCTTGCTTTGATAAAAGAAATTATTCATATAACCCTTTTAGAAGTTAAGTTATAGTCCTTTGTTTTGGGCATGTCATTTTCGAGCCTGAAACCTGAAAAACAGGCTTGGGGCTTAAGAGGTTAACTCGTGTTTTTGAAATGATGTGCACACATACCTGATTAATTTTGTTTGTTTTAGTGAGCTCCACTTCTCACTTTAGAGAAAAGAGGTGAAATAAAATAAACCTGTGCACCGTTGATTTCAAACTTGGTTTTCCTGAATTGTCTTTCTGCATAATTCCAAATTGGAGACAAATGTCCTTACCTCTTCGATCATTCAATCACGAGCACAGAGCAAAGGTTCAGAAAATGAACACAGGTCTTCTAATACAATCACTTTTGCTTTTGAGTGAAACTCTGCAAATGGTTTGACATGAGCAATTAAGACCGTAAATGTCATGTATATTTTAATGCCTTATACCTATGAAGCGCACAGACATCTTTATTTAAAATGCTGATATTCAGGGTTAATCTTCAGACTTTGGAAAAAACACTTTAGTTCCGTGCACAACATTACTTTGTGCAAAACTTTTCCTTCTACATTATGAAACCCACACAGAACAATGTAGCCATCCAACAATCAAGCAAACGCAATGTCACCTTCATCACCCGTCTACCTGTATTTACTATATCCCATACAATATTGAAGACATGAAGGACAGTACGTTAAATTAGGTTTATTGTCTTCCAAATAAATAATACAAGCGAACAAAAACAAGTCTTTTAAGTAACATCAATAATCAAACATAGAAATGGCCAATGGTGGGGGGGAAAAAATAAATCACATTTTGTCGACCATTTTTTCGAACAGGGTTAGAAATGTATCTGAGTGCTGCATTATTTCTCTGTGGCGTTCGTCCTCTTTTTCTGCCTCGCGTTCTAGGCACTCCAGCACTCCCATAGCACCTGGTGGTTCCAGCCTCAGACAGTGATGAGGGTGGTGAGGGGTCTGGATCATCAGCCACATTTGGGGGGGGGAAGGAAGAGGAGCAGGAAGTAGCCTCTGGATCAAAGAGGATTGTGGGGTTTGCCAAGGCTGAGGCAACAAGGACAGGAGGACTAATTGAAGGCGTTGCACCTATGGCCTCATCCATGGCCATGAAGAAGGGCCATGTTGCAGGGGTTTCTTCCCCCTGATCAGTCCCTGTTCCAGTCCTTGGCCTTTTAAGTTCCTATTGCAAACAAATGCATGTTAGAAATCTTTGTTCAGCTTTTTCAAAAACAAACATGTTTTACAATAACAATACACCATTTACCTTGTATTTCTTTTTTAGGTTATCCCATTTCTTGGAGGCCTGTTTGTGAGACACATGTTGCCCAAGGTCCAGTTCCTTAATGATTGACCTGTTATCATAGAATATGTAAACAATATATATTAGTGTTAAGGCAATGACCCACTGTGCACATTCATTGCTTTCATTGCACAAAATATGAATTGAGTGCATAACTCACTCCCATGCTTCTTTGGCAGCATTGCGTTTTTTGCAGAACAGGTCGTCCTTGTCCTTAAAGCAATAAGTGCCTTGGTTTTTACCACAGTCCCTGAAATTACAAATCACACTTAAGTTTAAACCGATTTCGTAAGTGAATGGATACATGAATTGACACATGTGTTGTTAGTTTGATTCCGATTTAGATTTGTACATCTTCAAAATAAAAATCTAATGTAATCTTGGCAAATCAAATTAACACGTGTAGATTTATAAATACATGTTCACAAAGGCATGTTTTAGTTAAGGCAACGTATTATTTATCGTTTAAAAAAATAACCACATGGAACTCACATTTGTATGACGTTGTTTCCTCCATGCCCGACAAACGGTTGCACACCTGTGGAGTGAGATTATCAAGCCTGCATCCATGCAAACTCGCCGTCGGAGGCTTTTATAACCCACTACGCCTCCGCCCTGATTGCTTTGGACCAGCCCTCAATATGGCGGACCCTACGCGTGAACGCGCAAACGGAGGGGTAGGGTGTAGGGGTAGGGTGTAGGGGGCGGTTTGGGAATGGGCCCTATAAAGGGAAGGAGAAGAGCAGCAGAGGACAGACGGAAACTGAGAGAGGCTGAAGGGCACAGCAGGGACGGAAACTGAGAGGCTGAAGGGCACAGCAGAGGCGGAGCGCACAGCAGAGGCGGAGCGCACCAGGAGCAGAGACGGAAACTGGGACTGAGACTGAAGGAGACAGCAGAAGCAGAACGCACCAGGAGCAGAGGCACACGCAATAAAGGGATTAAAAGACACGGCAGTCCGAGAGAGGGTCGACGGAGCACATTTACAGCCCTGGAAAGACTGGTTTTGAGAAAATACTTTTAAACCCTTTTAACATTCGAATTCTTTGTATTGTTTTAACTACGTTTAATTGTATTTTAACATAGTTTTAGACTATCTTTTTACTGAGATTATATTTTAGACAGCTCTGATTTTAGTTTTCTTAGTAAAGATTGTATGTTCTACTGAATAAATCATTGTGTTTTAAACTTAGTAGTTGGCTCCTTGATTACCCAGTTTTGCTCTCCACCTGATTTAAAAGAACCCTTTCCCTCCTTAAATTATTACCCCTCCCCCTCCTTTACATTCGCATCACATATGATTTGGACATTAATGGAATGAAAGTGCTTTCGATTAACGAATGCACTTTCATTCACACTAGGTGCCCTTAAAGCAACGTGAGTGCAGTCAATGGCACCGATTACATTTGGGAAACCGGACATTGCTGCAAATTGCATTTTTTTAATTTGCCTGCTCACCCACCGTGTAAGGAAACATAATGTAGAAATGCGACAACGCAATTATACCTCCCAACACATGTGGCATAACACGGCTGAGGGTTGGCTGGGATATCCCGACCTGTCAGCCATTTCCCTCTGAAACGTGCCGGTTGCCAGAAATCCAAGTGTTGTTAGCACTTGGATTGGAACCGGCTCGGTTTCTCAGTGTGCTTCTCTGCAAAGCCGGGCCCAACACAGCACAAAGCTCCAACAAAACCGCTCTTGGAAGTCGGAACCGACTCATGAGCCACTCATCATCATTGGCCAGCAAATCTTGCTGGTCTCTGAAATGTCGCTCCCTCCGCACTCTTCCATTCGCCAAGTCCTCTAGCAGTGCCAAATCAGCCATTGTGCGTCATTACGCATTGTGATGGCACGCATTTGTATACACACCCGGCCACCTGATTGTATCTGATAAGATACAGGTGGTGAAATTACCCTGCTTTTATTGACTGGTCCATTTGCTAGCCATAATAAGACGAAGATTCGTCATAATCATAATGAATAATACTATCCCTTTACTCTATATGGTGTAAGGCACCTACAGCTGAATCGGTGTTAACCCTTGTTGTAGCCTACCACTGTTAAAAGTTATTATTGATAATTGATTTTAGACCATGCAAGCTTTTTTAATCACTGAAACGTATATAGTTGCACACCGAGGTGTGCCCGTCACCAGACGCACAGGATAGCCTACCTTAGATGTAACGTAATGTTCTTCCCTTTTTAGAAATGATAGTAAACCGAGTGCAATTAAGCTGGGTTTGCACATGTATTTACAAACAGTTGGGGCTTTGTTTACAAACGTGGTTTGTGTTCCAGCTGCCGATCAGCTGTGCGCAGCGGCTCCACTGCACCATGTGTGTCTCAATGCCACCGCAACAACTCTACCCACCACATAAATGAAATAAAACAAATGTGTTGTGTTAAATCAGCTGTACAATTATCCAAATACTGTATATGGTGTTCTTAGTTTCCATACCTCCTGTGTTTTACAAGCGACTTATCAAGTCTTGGCAAACGGCATAAAACACGATTAAACGTGATGTAAAACCATGCTCGTATCTACAACCTATAGAAATGCAAAACGGCGTCAGTTTAGACGTAATTCTGTCCTCCTGCTTACCGCATCATTTATGAGAAAACATTTCATAACATTAACACAACATATTCGAGGTGGTTTTAAATAACATATCCGTATTTATTTATTTCTCCAAGTTATGTTTTTGTGTGCACTGAGGAGTCTCAAACAGGCGTTTGTTTAATCATTTTAAGATTGGCTTTAATCAATGTTTGCAAATGAATTCTTCATATATGATAAATGAGAGGTAACATTTTATTGATGGTATTATTTCCACATATTTCTCTCCATTCTTCCTTCTGCCAACGGTGTCGCAGTTTCTCGTCTCCCGTTGTTGTGCTTGGTGCGTACGCATGGGTTAGAGTTTGCGTGGAGGACCGCACGTTTTCCCGTCAAGTTAGTATTTTATAAATCGCAAACATTGCGTAGAAACTGGCGTACGCCATCTTTTGAGCGTATATCGCTTTACAAATGAGGCCCCTGGTCTTTAAAGAAAACGTATAATCTGACCTGTGCGTACATTTAGAGAGTTGTGACTGACGTCCGTCAGTATCAGGCGTCAATAAGACACGCCTTGTTCTTCGTCAATGGTCCCTCCCCGGTTGCACACACTGGTCATCCTCAAGCCTCATCTGCAACCTTTCGGCAGATTCATCACATTAAACCTGCAAAACCCTTCAGTGAGAGACAGCACTCTGATTGGCTGCACCAGAAAGAAAAGGATGTGAGGAATGTAGGAAAACAGGAAGCACTTTTCATTTTCATCTCATCTGATCATATCTTCACACTACATTTCCACCTGGAGTGAATGGGAAAGATTGGTGTGAAAATGGTTGGAAAGAGTATGAGTGCATGCAAACATTGGTGCATTTAGGGTATTATATTTGGATAAAGTAAAAATATGCAAAAAGAACACATTTAAAGCCTGGAACTAAACTGCACATTTGCAGTTATTTACTGTGCAATGAGGGATTACTTACAACATTTCATGTGTTTCAGAACAACGGCTTCTAAATCCACAGCCTGTTTTCCGGTTTCCCTTTTAGAATGACAAATACAGACTGCCACCGCCCGCTGGTATTAAGAGTTATTTTTACTCACGCAGGCCTGTAATGTAGAAGCTATATTTGATGGTCTTTGTGATGTGTTCAGGTACATTCAGACCTCTGTCGCAGCTACGTCTTAACCTTTGTTTGGTTAACCCTGACAAACAAGGTCAAAACAATCAGGGCTTATTGTTATGGAAGCAGATTTGATCATTCTTTAGTGTTTCGGTGCATGAAAACATTGGTGCACTTAAAGGTCCCCTATACTGTTTTTCATCAATATATTACAGGTCTCAGATATATCCAGAGCCTGTCTCTGATTGGCTGAAACACCAAACAGATCATTGTAGCATCCCATAATCCCCTCTGTTTCTGTTACTTTAGATGAAAGTAAGGAGCCCCTCCCCACGCCCCTCTGAGAGACATTTGGTTACAAAGAACACAATGGTGCTCTAGGAGGAGATTCAGGTGATAAGGGGGGGGGGGGCATTTTGCTGACTGCATGGTAACCAACTGGCCAGGGCTGCAGAACAATTTCTTACAGAAGTTAAGTTAACATAAGATTTCACGAGGAGTAAGATACATCAATCAATGGAGGAAGGGTGAAGACATTTACAATCTCAAATGTAATTCAGCTTTAATCAACACATGTCTTTAAGATAGTTCTAGAGTAGCTTAACACAGGGAAGAATACAGAGTGCAGATTTGTTACTGTGCAGGACATACCTTCTCTCTCTGTGCTTATGCTGACATTTAATTGTATTCCTTCAGTTGTGTGGTGTATGTGTGTGTGTGTGTGTGTGTGTGTGTGTGTGTGTGTGTGTGTGTAAGTGCGTGCGTGCGTGTGTGTGTGCGTGCTCTGCCACGTAAAGCATATTTCAGCTCTCTAAATGTGGTTCTCATTACACAGCTGAGCATTTAGCCAAGACTCGCTGTCTGCACCTCTCTCTCCCTCTCTCTCTCTTGTCACTCGCTCACTCTCTCTTTTTCCTACTTATCGCAGCGCCTCTCTCCCTCTCTTTCTCTCTCTCTTTGTCACTCGCTCACTCTCTCTTTTTTCTACTTATCGCAGCGCCTCTCTCCCTCTCTCTCTCTCTCTTTGTCACTCGCTCACTCTCTTTTTCCTACTTATCGCAGCGCCTCTCTCCCTCTCTCTCTCTCTGTGTGTAATGGCAGATATAAATATCCCTCAGCAGTAACCCCTCTCTCTCATAAACACTCACACATACTAACACACCACAGTCTCTCTGTTTCATGAATCACAGACACAGCTGAAACCACACTTTCTGAAAGTCATCATCCTCCCTGGGACTGTTTGTTTTGAGCTACCATCTATAGTATTGATTGTTGATGTTGGCCACAGCCTCTTACCACAAACAAAACAACTCAAATCAATGGGAATACAGGACATGTACTGGCTTCACTTCCTGTACTATATGTTGGTACAACGTGACCTTATCATATACTGTTCAGCTGCTTGGGCCTCCGCCTTTAGTGTTGTATCTTAATCAAAGGTGTGAGAAGTACTCAGATCTTGTTCTTGAGTAAAAGTAGAAGTACTCAGATCTTGTTCTTGAGTAAAAGTAGAAGTACTCAGATCTTGTTCTTGAGTGAAAGTAGAAGTACTCAGATCTTGTACTTGAGTGAAAGTAGAAGTACTCAGATCTTGTTCTTGAGTAAAGTAGAAGTACTCAGATCTTGTACTTGAGTAAAAGTAGAAGTACTCAGATCTTGTACTTGAGTAAAAGTAGAAGTACTCAGATCTTGTACTTGAGTAATAGTAGAAGTACTCAGATATTGTACTTGAGTGAAAGTAGAAGTACTGAGATATTGTACTTGAGTAAAAGTAGAAGTACCAGAGTGTAGGTATACTCTGTTACTCTGTAGGTATACTCTGTTACTCTGGTACATGTCCTGCATTCAAAATGTTCCTCAAGTGAAAGTAGAAAAGTATTATCATCAAAATATAGTGAAAGTAGCGACAGTAAAAGTAGAGTACTCAGATCTTGTACTTGAGTAAAAGTAGAAGTACTCAGATCTTGTACATTGAGTAAGAGTAAGAAGTACTCAGATATTGTACTTGTGTAAAAGTAGAAGTACTCAGATCTTGTACTAGAGTAAAAGTAGAAGTACTCAGATCTTGTACTTGAGTGAAAGTAGAAGTACCAGAGTGTAGGAATAATCTGTTACATTACATGTCCTGCATTCAAAATGTTCCTCAAGTGAAAGTAGAAAAGTATTATCATCAAATATAGTGAAAGTAGCGACGTAAAAGTAGAAGTACTCAGATCTTGTACTTGAGTAAAGTAGAAAGTACTTAGATCTTGTACTAGAGTAAAAGTAGAAGCTCTCAGATCTTGTACTTGAGTGAAAGTAGAAGTACTCAAATCTTGTACTTGAGTAAAAGTAGAAGTACTCAGATCTTGTACTTGAGTGAAAGTAGAAGTACTCAGATCTTGTACTTGAGTAAAGTAGAAGTACTCAGATCTTGTACTTGAGTAATAGTAGAAGTACTCAGATATTGTACTAGAGTAAAAGTAGAAGTACTGAGATATTGTACTTGAGTAAAAGTAGAAGTACCAGAGTGTAGGAATACTCTGTTACATTACATGTCCTGCATTCAAAATGTTCCTCAAGTGAAAGTAGAAAAGTATTATCATCAAAATATAGTGAAAGTAGCGACAGTAAAGTAGAAGTACTCAGATCTTGTACTTGAGTAAAAGTAGTACCTTCTATTTGGAGTGAAATGACCTATTTTGAGTGAAATGACCTTCTATTTGGAGTGGAATGAACTTCTATTTGGAGTGAAATGACCTTCTATTGGAGTGAAAGGACCTTCTATTTGGAGTGAAATTAACTTCTATTTGGAGTGAAATTAACTTCTATTTGGAGTGAAATGACCTTCTATTTGGAGTGAAATTAACTTCTATTTGGAGTGAAATTAACTTCTATTTGGAGTGAAATTACCTTCTATTTGGAGTGAAATTAACTTCTATTTGGAGTGAAATGACATTCTATTTGGAGTGAAATTAACTTCTATTTGGAGTGAAATGACATTCTATTTGGAGTGAAATTACCTTCTATTTGGAGTGAAATTACCTTCTATTTGGAGTGAAATTAACTTCTATTTGGAGTGAAATTACCTTCTATTTGGAGTGAAAGGACCTTCTATTTGGAGTGAAATTACCTTCTATTTGGAGTGAAATTAACTTCTATTTGGAGTGAAATGAACTTCTATTTGGAGTGAAATTCACTTCTATTTGGAGTGAAATTACCTTCTATTTGGAGTGAAATTACCTTCTATTTGGAGTGAAATTACCTTCTATTTGGAGTGAAATGACCTATTTTGAGTGAAATGACCTTCTATTTGGAGTGAAATTAACTTCTATTTGGAGTGAAATTAACTTCTATTTGGAGTGAAATGACCTTCTATTTGGAGTGAAATTCTATTTAGATGTGAAATGACCTTCTATTTGGAGTGAAATGACCTTCTATTTGGAGTGGAAATGAACTTCTATTTGGAGTGAAATTAACTTCTATTTGGAGTGAAATGACCTATTTGGAGTGAATATCTTCTATTTGGAGTGAAATGACCTTCTATTTGGAGTGAAATTAACTTCTATTTGGAGTGAAATTGACCTTCTATTTGGAGTGAAATTACCTTCTATTTGGAGTGAAATTACCTTCTATTTGGAGTGAAATTAACTTCTATTTGGAGTGAAAGTAGCTTCTATTTGGAGTGAAAGGAGCTTCTATTGGAGTGAAATGATCATCTATTTGGGAGTGAAATTACCTTCTATTTGGAGTGAAATTACCTTCTATTTGGAGTGAAATGACCTTCTATTTGGAGTGAAATTAACTTTCTATTTGGAGTGAAATTAACTTCTATTTG